TGTTGGCGTGTATATGTAGACATGTACAGCTGCGTGTAATAAAATTGTTTCATGTTCAATGGTAGACCGCTGATTGAGTTGGATTCCAATCTATTAGAAACAAAAACGGGTTTGGTATTAAATATTGTCAACCAAAACATATCATCTATAAAATCAGATCTAACAGAGATCAGATGCGAGAAGTTGATCTTGTATACGATATCAGATCAGATGCTACAAGTTGATCTTGTATACGATATCAGATCAGATGCTACAAGTTGATCTTGTATGAGATATCAGATCAGATGATAGAAGTTGATCTTGTATGCGATATCAGATGAGATGATAGAAGTTGATCTTGTATACGATGTGGAAGTAGACGTAAAACTCCAGGAACGAACAAACGAGGCAGTTGTGCGACATCATCGCACTAGGTGTAAGCGGACGTTAACAACGACACACACACACACACACACCCACACACACACAACTGTAGAATCCGGTGTTAAGCAGCAGTTTATAGTGAAAAACTGTTTTCGTGTCCAAATCGTTTAGAACATTATTACAGAGAGATTTAAAGTATTAAAATTCTTCAAGGTGTATGGATAAGTTGAGTGGGAGAACGACGGTAGCTACTCATTAGTATCTGTGAAAGATATCGGCGAGTCTACGAAGGTGGATAGGCCTACACCTTACAGAACAGGAGATAAAGCTAAGGTTAGAGGTCACAAGAAGATTTACAGCCGTAAGCTAGCTACAGTACCTGGTGGGTCTAATTGGTAAAGTAGCTAAGTCGGTTAGAGGTCACAAGATAGCGATGATATCGAGAGTTGATTATGATCTGGATAAGTTAATTAATGTCTAATTAATAATTTATATAACATTTCAGGCCTAAAGAAAGACATGCAATAATCCGATTTAGCTCTTGTATAATGTCTGTTTAAGCCACGTTGATATATACCCAGATTCGTTATTTGACACATAATTAAGAAAACAAAATCATAATACAAACGCTGGATAATCTCCCTGACTGGATTCAGTCGGATTTAAAACGGGTTTGTCATTAAATTGTCGCGACAACAAAATGGCCGCAGGCGTACTTCATAGCGATTAACATAGATCGATGGGGTTTCTATATTGTATATATCTTTATAAATACTGAGCAAAATTGAACCAACTTATAACTGATATTACAATTAGATATTTGTCTTCCACCAGCGAGCCACGGTGGCTGAGTGGGTAAGACGTTGACTCACTGACCTAGTGGTCCCGTGTTCTATCTCTGTGTTGACAGAGAAAGTACCCCAATGTAGTTCCTCCTTGTCAGTGGTGCAGGACTGCAGACCTGACAAGGGACAACGTATACTGGCTCGGGTGGGACGAAAAACCGAGGTCCCATGTATGTGGCGTGCACGTTAACGATCCCATAAGAGTATAGGCTGTAGAGCCACTGTCCGGTCTAAATGTCGCTCATAGCACACTGGCAATGAATCTGGATTATCTAGTTTAGGTAGCGTAACATAATTAAACCGACTGCTCAAAGAAACAGCAGTGGCACCTGAATTAAATGGAGGTATGGTCTTAATCATCTAAATTTCACATATAAAACAATATGGAGTAGTTTTTAATTTTAAATCATTGAAGTAACTTTCTACACAAAATACAATTTATGATCCAATGTTCCTCTGATTTTTTAGCAATCCTGGCTGATAACGATTAAGTGTCCACCTTTCCGGAATTTGAACATATGGCACTACACGTGATGAGATTCCACTTGAATCGGACGAATCGGAAGAGGGACCTAAACGAGAGGAGCCTGCCTGTAGTTAGTATTTAAAAATGGAAATCATCGAAATTATATTTTCTACAGGGGCTCGCTGTGGCTAAGTGGATAAGACGCTGCCTTAACAGGTTTACAATAGCCCCTTTTCAATGTTAAATTTTAAGAGCACTGGAAGAACTGGACTTATATGATGTATGGTGATAAAAAAGAACTGGAAAGTAGAGTCTTGTATAGCTGACACAGATTGAGTGTGTATAGTAGGTCAGTAATTGGGACGCGCCGCGCAGGCGGCAGAAATCTCGTCTGCTAGATACTGTGTAAAATCTTATCAGCTCGTAAATATAAGCTAAGATTTGTAATTGTCGTGACACCTTAAATACACTAATTAATATAAATGATTAGAAAACGATGAAGTAATTAATATTTAATTTTAAACTATAAATTATACTATTCGTATTGACTTAGATTACCATTACTGAATATCAAAATAGCCAAAACATCTTTAACATTATATGTACATACTATGTAACTTTGTGTAATTATATCTTGATTGAAGTTTCAAATTGAATGGCACCTTCTTTTAATACATATTGTAATTAACCTAATTTAAATATATTTATGAATTAATGTATGGATCCATTGATTTATTGATGTATTATTTCATCAATGTGTTAATGTGTCAATGGTTTTGTATTTTGATTCAGGAATGTATTTCTTTTCTTTTCATTTTTCTTGTTTTTTTAAAAAAAAAAAAAAATAAAATAAAAAAAAAAAATAATGCTTTTAATTGATTAAGAATATTTTGTGCTGTTCCATGATTAAAATGTATGATTATATATTTATTGAATAAACATATTTACAAAAAAAAACCGCTGGCTCGCTAGTCTGGAGGTCGGGTGTTCGATCCCTGCATTGGCCGAGAAAGTTCATCCAGATTTTCCGGCGTGGTTTCCCCTTGTCAGTGATGCAGGACAGCAGTCTAGTCGTTCGGATTGGACGAAAAACCGAGGTCCCGTGTACACATTGGCGTTCACGTAAAAGATCCCTTGACAGTTGGAATTAATATAAGAGTAGGCCGTATTGCCGCTGTCCGGGCAAAATTTCCCTCATAGCACACTGTATGGCGCATGCCAGTCTTCATTAGCCCAGTTCAGAGCAGAACAGTAGGACGTTAAACCCCATTTCATTTCATTTCATTTATATTTTGTACAGGTCATTTATAAACCGGGGCCACGGGGGCTCGGTGATTAAGTCGCTGACTCATTAACCAGCAGGTCCGGGTTCGATCCCGGTGTTGACCGAGAAATGTCCATATAGGATTTATAAGTGGTGTAGCATGGATAGTGTGACAAAGAAGACTCGCTCCCGGTGTTGGGTGAGAAATGTCCATATAGGATTTATAAGTGGTGTAGCACGGATAGTGTGACAAAGAAGACTCGCTCCCGGTGTTGGTCGAGAACGTTCGTCGAGATTTTCCGATGTGGTTTTCCCTTGTCATTGCAGGACGTAAAAGATCCCATGGCAGTTGCAATTAGATATTAAAGTAGACCGTAGCGCCGCTGTCCGGGCAAAATTGCTTCATACCACATTGCATGACGTATGCCCGTTTTCATTAGCTCTGTCAGAGCAGAACATTTTTATTTGGTTAACCGCGGTGGCAAACAAACTCATTTCATTTCCTTGATAAGTTTGGAAAATGATTCTTAGAATTGAAAAGTTCATGAATAAATGTATACGTCAATATTTGATGGGTCGTCGCAAAAACACAAGTCCAAACCCAAATAATATGATACATTAAGGGCATGGCTTATAAACATTAAGATGGGATTGCTTCCATGGACGACTTTGTTGTAAAACGACCCAGACACGTAATTTTAAATCTGATTATAACAAGGTCCTATTCGTTTCGTTTTTTATAGTTAAAAATTTCGTTTTACTTGTCTTCATAACACTATGATCTGGAAGAGTTGTTATATAACAGGCGCTCTGCTTCATTTGTGGAATTAACCAATGAACCGGCCTGTTACGGCGTTCCGTGCATGGAACTGTGGGTAAAGCACTAGAAACCGCAACGCTGCTTGATTAATCAATGTCTGACGTCATAGGGTGAAAAGACGCTCGTGTGACCCTTGAAACGACCTCGCACTACAGTCAGATCTTCGAATAGTAGAGGCCGTCGAAAGTATAAAACACGAAACGAAATATAGATCTGTATTTTAATCGGATTGGAGTGAGATGTTTGTATTCTATAAACGTAATGTCTAACACATTCGAACCATGTATGTTTTTTGATTAAATTTTCGACAGCTTTGAGATAGCAATAATGTAGAATAAATGTTCGCATTGTTTAAACAGAACATTTTGTTAAACTAAACATACATTATTACGTCACATTAATAATGATGTCATAGGAGTGAAATGTTATATATTATATAAACTATTGAATAGACATTTATTAACAAAACAAGACATTTAATCGACTCTCGATGGCATTGGATACTCGAGATTTTAACTAGATTAAAACGGTTCCCCATTTAAAAATTTAATTTAAAAATCCCGATTAGGCTATATCACTATCAGTGCCCTGGTTAACACTGTGCATACATCTTGTCAAAACTACAAACAATGATAACTTGGCTGAGAATGAAGTAAATCAAGGGGTTTCCACAAGTTGCTACATCTGTCTAAGGGAGTAAGATACGAGAATAAACATTGTCAATGGGGAAAACTTTAGTGGTCTGTGACCAAATAAATAAAACTGTGCTAACAAAATGAAACTAGATTTGCCACGGCTAGATCTTATTCTTAAGGTCAACTCAATTCTCGTCGATGTCGCTGGGATGTAATAAGTAGAGCGCGTGATTGTTGACGAGATTGTAGGTTAGGGTTAGACTAAGTATTAGGGCTATGTCCAGGGTTCGGGTTAGGGTTGGGATTATAGTGTTAACCCTGTTTACATCTCGTGACCTTTGGCCAAACTTGAAGTTGGCCTTATCAATTAGATTTTAACCCTTTGTGCCTATCTTCCTATAAATTTTACTCGAAACGAAATATAATTTTATATAATTAATGTTGCAGTGTTTTCGGCACTATGTCCTTCCGGCACATTTAACCAAATGTGAATATTTTTGGGCATGGTAGGCCAACATTAGATAACTACAATGACTTAATATTGAAAATAACTGAAAAATAGATAAATTTCGTTTCGTGTGAAATTCTGTGTTTCAAATTTGAATTTGCTAGAGTTCGCCAAGGGAATAATACTAGATCATTGTGTCATCTGGAGAATATCTTCTCGAGGGTTAGGGTTAGGTTTATAAATTACATGTCAAACGTACAAATTGAAGCTGTAACAACGGTGGATTGTGGCTAAAACTATTCTGAAGGGTTAGGGTTAGATTTGTGGGTATAAATGTAACCGGGGGGTGTAAATTCTCAATAAAAACTAAGGTGGTTAGTTTTTAAACCTTTATTAAAAACCCTGAAATATATATACGTTAAAATTAATATACATATCACAGTAACAGTTGAGTACAATAAAATAATAGTAAGGCATGCATATTGGTACTCAATGAAATATATCAATAATTTATACACTAAAATACATCACTAATTAAATTAAACATATTAAACAGGCCTTAAGTTTATACTAAATATAATATAAGTAATTGATAACATACCCAAAGAAGGGGTTTTTAAATAAGACTATCAAGATGGTGAACAAAATCTTCAGATAACTATATTCTGGAAAATAACATTATTCTGATTATACATACAATATACTTTCAAAACGGTACCTTATAATCTACTATATATATGTATATATGAAAAACTAATGATCTTTACATGTTATTTTCTATCTATTTAAATAAAATGGTTGCTTAATATTACAATTTCTATCATTCCTACATCCGCTCCATCTAAACCCCAATTACCCAAAATAAGAGAATTAGCACACATACCTGTAATACTGAAGTAGTATAACTGGAACAATTCTCTGAAAATAACCTAACTAGATTTGGAAAATAAAGTTAAACAATTTGATTGAAGATATCAAATTGTCCTTACACTTCGAAATCTATCTAATGTCTGATGTCTAAAGTGAGGTTCAGATAAAAAGAAAACTTGCTTGTAACCAAGGGAGTAGAATTGTACTCACCCCAAGATTTGGGCTCTAAGAAAACAGTACAGGTTAACAAGCCAAGTTAAAGGAGAGATGTTATTATAGACCAGTTGCAATTAAAATTAGTGTCAGTTTGTTAGTTTAAAGGTGCACTCACTCAATACACTATATTACTTGACATAATAAAACCTATAAACATATTAAAATTCCGCTTCGCTACATAAACACTGACAGATATTCTACAGATCGGTCAAGATCCAGTTATCGGTTTGCAGTAGAGGTTTTGGAAATCTCGTTAAAAAATCAACAGTAAAAAAATATTTTGAGAAAAAAAAATGGATATGATATGTAAGTTTAACGTGTTAGCAGTGCAGGTAACTGAAAATTGTGAATTTTGCTGTCAGCTGAAAGAAGCAAACAAGTTGTCAACATTTGGCTGCGTCGAGTTGTTTTGTTTAGATTTTGAGCGGATACTAAATCACCGGAATTCACTTTGCAAATATCAAAATTTGACTCCAAGGCCTACCTCTTTACATATATTTTGCATTAATATTAATAATAAATAATTGAAAAACACCGATGATCACCGGAATTCACTTTTAAAAACATATAAACACCGGAATTCACTTTAAAAAAATGGGGGGTTGGATGGCCGAATGGTTAGCACGTGCGCGCTGCGCTGTATCATACAGTCTGTCATTGAGTCAACTGGTGGGATTTCGATTCCCCGGTTGTACGTGACAAGGAGTAGGGTCGCCTGGCCTACCTCGTGGGGTTTCTCCGGGTCCTCCGGTTTCCTCCCACTGCTAAAGACCCCTACGCGCAAGTGAATTATTGAAATAAAATTGAACCATGTGTTAGTCCCGAAATGACCTAGTTTGAGTCGAGTTGAGGTTAAACCCCATTTCTCTCTCTCTCTCTCTCTCTCTTTCAGGGGGGTTGGATGGCACGTGCGTGCTGTATCATTAAGTCTGTCATTGAGTCATCTGGCGTGGTTTCGAATCCCCGGTTGTACGTGACAAGGAGTAGGGTCGCCTGTCCAACCTCATGGGTTTTGTCCGGGTCCTCCGGTTTCCTTCCACTGCTAAAGACCCCTACGCGCAAGCGAATTATGGAAATAAAATTGAATCATGTGTTAGGCCCGAAATGACCTAGTTTGTGTCAGTGGACGTTTAAACCCCATTCTCTATCTCTCTCTCTCTCTCTCTCTCTCTCTCTCTCACTTTCAAAATATGAGAATTCGCCCACAAGCCCTTGCTGCTTACATATATTTTGCATTAATATTAATAATGAATTTCCTTAAATACACCAAAAATGACTACTACATACGCCTTTTAGATTTAACTTGTCTCTTTGTAAATTTCACATAAATGGTCATTTCGAGACTTACACATGGTTCAATTATATTTCAATAATTCACATGCGCGTATGGGTTTTTTGGGGAGGGGGCAGAGGAATCGGCTTACACTACATGAAGATCTGACCAGTTGTACTGGGAGGTCATGTCAGGTGTCATACGGGCGGCTTTTGACCCTATGAAAGATATTGATTAATCAATCAGCTTTAACGTTTCTAGGGGTTTACCCACAGTTCCGTGAAGATCACGCCAAGAACTCGCCGTAACAGACCGTTTCATTAGCTAATTTCTCACATCAACTAGAACGCCTGTTACATAACAACTCTTCCAGTGTAGTAAAGAAAAGAAAACAAAATTTTGTACTATTAAAAAACATGAAACGAAATAGGATTTATAAAGAGCCGTTACCTTCAATGTGCCTACATATTTCTTGTAGCATATAGTCGATCATGACTCGTACTGGCTTTATATAACTTTTGGGAAATATTCCCCCTTATTTTTAGTTTGTTTTTTATACGCCTACATTGAAATGTAGTCATATATTCAATTGTGTCACCCCCATTCGTCAATTCGTTGGTCCGGCGTCCACAATTGTTTGTGGACACTCTAGAGGCCAAAGTGAATATCCGATTGACATTAAATTTATACACAGTGTTTAAGGTCATGAGACGAAGAAGCCTATTGATTTTCAGCAATTTCTGATAATTACTGCCAGAGTTATGGCCTTTGATCACTTCAAAATATCTTGTGGATGCTCTAGAAGCTAAAGATGATATCCGATTGACTTCAAATTTACACTCAGTGGTCGAGGTCATGCGACGAAGAATCATATTGATTTTCAACATTTCTGATAATTACTGCCAAAGTTATGACCCTTGATCACTTTGAAAAATCTTGTGACGTCTAGAGGCTAAAGTTATCATCGGATTGGCTTCAGTTTAAGGTCTTGAGATGAACAAGTATATTGATTTTCAATGAATTTTGATAACTTGAACAGCTAAATCCATGATATTAAATGTTTCGTATACTAAACGTTAGCATGGGGCAGAACTTTATACAAACAAATCAAATTCTAATGATTTTCTGATAATTACATGAATTGATGAGTTGTTGTTACTCTTAATTGGTTATTAGTGTATTATAATTGTTTCATTACTAAAAAATGTAAAAATATGCGACAACACTTGTTGACTGCCCGGATGATTTAGCTGCTGTGGGTTGCCTAGGGGGTTGGATTGCTGAATGGTTAGCGTGCGCGTGCTGTATCATAAGGTCTGTCATTGAGTCAACTGGCGTGGTTTCGAGTCCCCAGTTGTACGTGACAAGGAGTAGGGTCACCCGCCAACCTCGTGGGTTTTCTCCGTGTTCTCCTATTTCCTCCCACTGCTAAATACCCCTACGCGCAAGCCAATTATTGACATAAAATTAAACCATATGTTAGACACACCTAGTTTGTGTCGAGTAGAAGTTAAACCCCAATTCTCTCTCTCTCTGTCTCTCTCTCCTCTCTGGACTTTCGGGGATCACATGGGTAAGACGCTGTCTCGTTAGCCTGGAGGTCGGGTGTTCAATCCCTGCATTGGCCGAGAAAGTTCCCCCTTGTCAGTGATGCAGGACGGAGGGCCTGACAAGGACGACTGTCTAGTCATGCGGATGGGACGAAAAACCGAGGTCCTGTGTATACATTGGAATGCACGTAAAAGATCCCTTGGCAGTTGGAATTCGATATAAAAGTAGGCGATAGTGCCGCTGCCCGGGCAAAATTTCCCTCATAGCACACTGTATGGTGTATGCCCGTCTTCATTAGCTCAGCATAGGAGCAAAACAGTAGGACGTTAAACCCCATTTCATTTCATTTCTCTGGACTTTTACGGTCGACCTCCTGGATCCATTCACTCGATCTGATATGTACAGTTGTTGTGTGGTGCAGTAGCAGATATTGGACAGGTCAGTCGATTTGCACAGGCCAAGACAGTTAACATGGATTTTCCACAGGGTTCCCCCTAGTCACTGGTGCAGAATGGGACACTTGTCAGTCTGATTCCAAATCAGAGTAGGCCGCTGTCCGGACATAATTTCCTACATAGCACACCGTATGACATATGCCCATTTTAATTAGCCCAGTCGGAACAGAACAGTAGGACATTAATCTTGATTTCATTTCAAACATTTAGAAATATTTTTTTCTCTATTTTAGATAAAACAAACTGAACAAGTTGGATCAGGAAAGACTATCACAATGCCTAGAAGAAAAAGGTGCAAATGGATTAAAAATTTACAACAACATTGGTGTAAATGGCGTGATAGCATTGCAAATGAACCCCTTCCTGATTCAACAAATGAACCCCTTCCTGATTCAACAAATGAACCCCTTCCTGGATCACAAGATCAACCTGGATCACGAGTTGAACCCCTTCCGGGATCAATAGATGAACCCTTTCCTGGATCACGAGATGAACCCCTTCCGGGATCACCGGATCAACCCCGTCCTGCTTCAAGAGATCAACTGGTATGTTTGATATCTACATGTAAGCTTATCTACAAAAAAAGAAAAGCAGTTCATGGTTTTTTTTTGTTGTATATTTTTTTTTTTGGCTGAGAAATTTCATCAGCTGTTTCCGACGTGGTTTCGCCTTGTGAGTGGTGCAGGATGGGGATAAAAGACTGAGGTCCTGTGTACACATTGGTGCACACATAAAAGATCCCTTGGCAGTTGGAATTCGATATAAGAGTAGGCTTTTGCGCTGCTGTCCGGGCAAAATTGCCCTCATGGCACACTGTATGACATATGCCCATCATCGTTAGCCCAGTCGAAGCAGAAAAGTAGGACGTTAAACCCCATTTTATTTCATCAGTATTTTTTCAGACAATCCTTCCCTTATAGAAGATTGTATGGCTTATGCCCGTCTTCATAAGCCCAGTTGAAGCAGGCTTGTAACAATCTATACCCCGACGCCCGGGCCTACCAAAATTAACTTACAGGCTAGTGATCTATTTAACCGTACTAGTCCTGGGCTAGTGGCCTTTTACTGGTTTGTAAATTAATCTAGAGATATAGATAAATAAACTGTAAAAACATCCTACATTTATTTCTCCAATTCCACACAAAACTCTATTATAACAATAGATTTTCTGTATAAAACTTAGGGCAGTATGGACATTTTTAGTACCTCGTCGATTCATTCATTCTTGACATTTTTCTCCACCTTGCACTCTTTGACAAGTCACGTATTCAGCAGTTGAAATCAGGTTGATTTTTTTTAAAAAAAGCCTACATAATATTTTATAAGATTGGTTTTGACATAAATATTTGAAAGCATGCCATTGGATTTTCAAATACAAAATAATTTTGATTATTTAATATGTCCGGTATTTCCAAAGAATTTACTACACGTGTTCGTTGCACATGGCATGCTCAATGGTACCCTATCGACACACAGCATCGTGCTCGAGTGATAATGTAAACAATTTTACTATCCTGTCTATTTTAATATTATATCATTAATTATATTAATTTTATTGAAATAAAATTAAACCATATGTTTTTGTCGAGTGGGCATTAAACCCAGTTTCCCTCTCTCTCTAAAGTCTTGTTTCCATTATTGTACAGGAATAGTGCATCCTACTGACAAAGGTTGTAGAAGAATCGAAGAGAGAGAAATGAAATGAAATGGGGTTTAACGTCCTACTGTTCTGCTCCTAAACTGGGCTAATGAAGATGGGCATACGCCATACAGTGTACTATGAGGGGAAATTTTGCCCTACAGCCTACTCTTATATCGAATTCCAACTGCCAAGGGATCTTTTATGTGCATGCCAATGTGTACACGGGACCTCGGTTTTTAGTCCCATCCGAACGACTAGACAGCTGTCCTTGTCAGGCCCTCTGTCCTGCATCATTGACAAGGGGAAACCACGCTGGAAAATATGGATGAACTTTCTCGGCCAATGCAGGGATCGAACACCCGACCTCCAGGCTAGCAAGCCAGCGTCTTACCCACTTAGCCACGTGATCCCTGAAGAGAGAGAAATAGGGTTTAGCACTTGACATGGAATGACCCACAGGGGACTTTACTCCTTTTCACGTACAAGCAGGGATTCAAAACCACATCATGACTCAATGAACCATTCAGCCAGTTCGCTCCAATTGCTCAAGGAATGACCTAGTTTGTTTTGAGTGGATGTTAAAACCACTTTCTCTCAATACATAACATTGTTATAACTTTTATATATTACAGGAAACTAATAATATAACTTATCACAGGAAACTAATGATGTTATAACTTTTATATATTACAGGATACTAATAATATAACTTATCACAGGAAACTAATGATGTTATAACTTTTATATATTACAGGATACTAATAATATAACTTATCACAGGAAACTAATGATGTTATAACTTTTATACATTACAGGAAGCTAATAATATAACTTTTATATATTACAGTAAACTAATGATTTTATAGCTTTGATGTTATAACTTTTATATATTACAGGAAACTAATGATGTTATAGCTTTTATATATACTATTCAAAAAAAGTAGGGGATGTTTGATTTTGGGGGCATAATACTAAAATATGCAAATGCGGTTGTGGCGCGGACGATGAATGTTTCTCAGTCTGTCATAAGCAGGCTATGGTCCAGATACCGTGATACACAATCTGTACAGAACAGACCACGCTCAGGTCGACCAAGGGCGACAACTCAAGCCCAGGATCGATTTATCCGTACCTTGGCCTTGAGAAATCGTGTCATCACAGCAAATCAGATCAGCGCTCGTCTTCAAACAGACACTGGTGTGAGAGTGAGTGGCCTGACGATTCGGAATCGACTGCATAGGGGTCACCTTCGTGCCGACGTCCAGTGATGCCTTGTTTGAGAGATCAACACATTCAGGCAAGACGTCGTTGGTGTAGGGATCGTCAACACTGGGATAATCGACGCTGGAGCAATGTGATGTTTTCAGATGAGTCAAGGTTCACTGTTGATTTTTTGGACAGACGTAGGAGGGTGTGGCGTCGTCGAAACGAGCGCTTCCAAGACGTTAACGTCATCAGACATGATCGATTTGGGGGTGGTTCTGTTATGGTGTGGGGAGGCATCACTGTTGCTGGAAGAACGGCTTTACATGTTGTTGCAGGGCGTGTTACAGGCCAGTACTACCGGGACAACATCTTGGCAGTCCATGTTGTGCCGTTCGCACGACGTCATGGCCGCCGTTTCATCTTCCAGGATGACAACGCAAGATGTCACAGGGCCAGGATCGTTACAGGTTACCTCCAACAACAGAACATCACCACATTACCTTGGCCAGCACTGAGTCCCGACCTCTCCCCCATCGAGCATGTCTGGGACATGCTTGGACAGAGGTTACGTCAACGTCAACAACGTCCTGCCAATGTCCAAGAACTTGCTGCTGCGTTGCAACAGGAATGGGACAATCTGGACCAAAATGACCTTAGACGTCTCATTAGGAGTATGCCACGTCGGATCAATGCTTGTTTGGCAAACAGAGGAGGATTTACCCGTTACTGACTTGGTTGTGATGCTGTGGTAACTTTGCTGTTTGACCCCGGGTATCATTTTACCCTTATAATGGTCAGTCTATGCCTTACTTAGTCTACGATCATTTGGAATAAATCGATGAATGTGAACTTCATTTCATTTTGTCATTTGTTTCTTCGTCAGTTTCATTAGGTGACTTTAATAACACTTAAAAATCAAATATCCCCTACTTTTTTTCAATAGTATATTACAGGAAACTAATGATCTTATAACTTACATATTTCAGGAAACTAATGATATTATAACCTTCGTATATTTCAGGAAACTAATAATGTTAAAACATTCCATCATTGTGTTTTTTGTGATGAGATTTTTAAAGAGTACAGTGATCTAGATCTTCACTATGAACTACACGTGAACAAGAAGATCCATGTTGAAGGAGAAAAAATTGACAGTATCGTAAAACACTGCAAAAGACATGTTAAAACGGGGCAAATTGCTAATGTTGTAAAACACCGCAAAAGACATGTTAAAAAGGGGCAAATTGCTAATGTTGTAAAACACCGCAAAAGACATGTTAAAACGGGACAAATTGCTAATGTTGTAAAACACCGCAAAAGACATGTTAAAACGGGGCAAATTGCTAATGTTGTAAAACTCCGCAAAAGACATGTTAAAAAAGACGATATTGATAATGCGGTAAAACTCTGCAAAAGACATGTTCAAGAAGAAAAAATTGATGTGGAAAAACTTCACAAGAAACATGTTAAAGGAAAAAAAAATTGATGTGGAAAAACTTCACAAGAAACATGTTAAAGAAGAGGAAATTGATAACTTGAATTATTTTCAGTGTAACTTGTGTGAAAGAAAATTTGATTTATACCCTGATTTAGAAGAACATTGTAAAATACATATGGAATATGAAGAATCTCCTATCATAGGACAAAATGTTAAAGAAAGCGAATCTATTGCAAGTACTTTATATCAATGTACATTATGTCAAATTTGCTTTGAGCAATATTTTCACCTGGAAGAACATTGTAAACTTCATGGATATCAATGTACAGGCAGAGTTAGGTCTTCCATTAGGTACATGTATATTTAATGTATATTCTATGTTATAGGAAACTAACGATGTTAAACCTTTCCATCAGTGTATTGTTTCTACCTTTAGACAAACCTTTTAGGAGCTGCGGTGGCTAAGTGGGTAAGCTGCTGGAGGTTGCATGTGGTTTCCCTTTGTCAGTGGTGCAGGACGGAGTGTCTGACAAGGACAGCCGTCTAGTCATTCGGATGGTACGGAAAACTGAGGTCCCGTGTACACATTGGCGTGCACGTACAAGATCCCATGACAGTTGGTATTCGATATAAGAGTAGGCCGTAACCCCGCTGTCCGGGCAATATTTCCCTCATAGGACACTGTATGGCGAATGCCCGTCTTCATTAGCCCAGTTCGGAGCGGGACAGTAGGACGTTAAACCCCATTTCATTTCTTTTGTATTTTGTACAGGTCATTTATAAATCGGGGCCACGGGGGCTCGGTGATTTAAGTCGCTGAAGCATTAACAAGCAGGTCCGGGTTCGATCCAGACGTTGGCCGAGAAATGTTCTCTTGTCATTGGAGGACGTAAAAGATTCCATGGCAGTTGGAATTCGATATAAGAGTAGACCGTAGCGTCGCTGTCCGGGTAAAATTGCCTTCATAGCACATTGCATGACGTAAACTCGTTTTCATTAGCCCTGTCAGAGCAGAACATTTTATTTGGTTAACCGCGGTGGCGAACTAACTCATTTCATTTCCTTGACAAGTTTAGAAAATGGTTCTTAGTATTGAAAAGTTCACAAATAAATGTATTTGCTTGATGGGTCGTCGCAAAAATACAAGTCTAAACCCAAATAATATGACACATTAAGGGCAGGGCTTATAAAAATTAGGATGGGATTGCTTCCTTGTACGACTTTGATGTAAAAGGACCCAGACACATACTTTTAAATCTGATTAAAACACGGTCCTATTCGTTTCGTTTTTTATAGTTCAAAATTTCGTTCTACTTGTCTTCACAACACTACGATCTGGAAGAGTTGTTATATAACAGGTGGTCTGCTTGATGTGAGGAATTAGCCAATGAACCGGCCTGTTACAGCGACTTATTGGCGTGTTGTGAATGGAACACTATAGAAACGTCAACGCTGATTGATTAATCAATGTCTGACGTAAAGGGTGAAAAGACACTCATATAACCCCTAAAGCGACCTCCCACTACCGTCAGATCTTCGAATAGTAGAGGCCGTCGAAAGTATCAAAAACGAAACGAAATATAGATCTGTATTTTAATCGGATTGGAGTGAAATGTTTGTATTCTATAAACGTAATGTCTAACACATTATTTGAACCATGTATGTTTTTTGATTAAATATTGGACAGCTTTGAGATAGCAATAATGTAGAATAAATGCTTGCATTGTTTAAACTACATTTGTTAAACTAAACATACATTATGACGTCTCATTAATAATGATGTCATTGTAATAATCATATTAAACATAGATTATGCAAGAGCTAAATCTGTCTATTGCAGGTTTTTCTTTAGGCCTAAAATGTTATCTAAATTATTAATTACACATTTATTAACAAAACAAGACCATAATTGACTCTCGATGGCATCGGATACTCGAGATTTTAACTAGATTAGAACGGTTCGCCATTTAAAAATTTAATGTAAAATTGGGAAAGCGAGGCTAAGTCCCGATTTCAATATTTCTTTTTTCATCATCTAATTTTGAATTATTATAGCAAGAATGGCCAACTCTTTATTAAACTCTTAACTAATGTATCTTTAACTATTCCCCAGATTCAAAAGAAAATACATCCAAAACAGTTTTCTGTGAACACTGTGGGGTTCTTCAGAAGCAGATAAGAGAATTAGAAGCGAAGCTGGATAAAGCCAACAATAAATTGGAAGATCGTCGATATGTTGATATACCTGTCAATACCTACACAGGTATGTACATTTATATATACCTACAGTGTTTTATCAAAATTCAGATTTTTCACTCAAATTTTAAAAAAACGCCCTTGAACATGTGTAACACTTTGGTCCTTAAGACAATTTTGGTTCTTTGAAAAATTGTTACTTTACTCTGTCTATAGAGTCAAATCACACGTACTTAATGAACGTGAATAGATAGTTATACATAAAAAAAACCCAGTGATATTTTGGTAAAATCATAACCATTGTCAAGATATCCATCAAGTTCTGTCTGTTAATTGACCTATGGTTGGTAGGCTAAATAATGTAATGTCTCCTCCTTTAGTCCTGTGAAATAAAGAGATTTATTCCATATTTGGGATGGAAATTAACGTCAAGGCTATCTAAGACGTACAGAAATTAGAGGGTATAAATTAGGGTGTAGAGCGAAATGGATCAAAGCTCATTCAGATATTCCTAGCAGCTATTATTATTGAGGACGAGGAACATTTAAAGCCATTACAGCTTAGCAATAAAGTTGTAAAATCATTGATTCTGTAGTGTTATTACGATCATGAAGAAACAAGTCCGATAGCTTGTTAAGCCATGGTCTGGCTAAAGCTAGATTTGTCTCGAATGAAAGCAATACTGATGGTTTGCTCCACTGATGTAAATCTTGTTGACCATTTAGGGAGCAATGGTGCCTTAGTAAGACGTTGGCTCGCTAATCTGGGGTCCCATGTTCGATCCCTGTGTTGGCCGAGAAAGTTCATCGCGTCTTTCCGGCGTGGTTCCTCCTCGTCAGTAGTGCAGGACAACGGAACAACGTATGGCCGGTCGGATTTTGACGAAACGCCGCGGTCCCGTGTACACATTGGTGTGTACATAAAAGATCCCTTGACAGTTGGAATTCGATACAAGAGTAGGCTGTAGAGCCACTGTCATGGCAAAAATCCCCTCATACTACACTGTATGCCGTATGCCAGTCTTCATAAGACCAATCGTAGCAGAACAGTAGGACGTTAAACCACGTTTCATTTGGAGACAATCCTTACAATCCTATAATCCTCTAAGTCAGTTTTCAAAACTAAAATGTTTAAATTTTGAATGTTTGCTGGGACAGGTAGAGGCACCTCAAAACAAGGAAAGTAATATGCCTCGACCAAGTAGACCTCCACACTCCCATTATGTAGCTTTTATTTTCAAGTGAAATATAATACAATTTCTAAGTATTATTGTGTAGAAAATATAAACCATTATTCAGAAAATATGAAACTATCGTTAAAACATGTAAATTCTGATGAACGAGTCGTTATTATATTTTTTACAGACACCGTATTGCCCTGATCCTGTAGAGTTAATAAAAGAGCAGCAGAGAAATATAAAGTAAGCAGGCCTTTTTATAAATCGGGGGGTTGGATGGCCGAATGGTTAGCATGTGCGCGCTGTATCATAAGGCCTGTCATTGAGTCAACTGGCGTGGTTTCGAATACAAGGAGTATGGTCGCCTGTCCAACCTCGTGGGTTTTTTCCGAGTCCTCTGGTTTCCTCCCACTGCTAAAGACCCCTACGAGCAACACCCCCCAGTCTATTTATAATTCATTCATTGTTAATTTGTTGTTTCAGTTTGAGTAAAGTCCCCCACCCCCACCCCAATAAGCAGGCCTATTTATAATTCATTTGTAGTAACGCCCCCTAGTTCCCCCCCCCCCCACTTTTGTTTCATTTTGAGTGATGCCTGTATCATTACAATCCCAGGACTATACAACACAGTTGGAGGTTACGGTTGGGTTAGAACCCCGAACCCATTCACTTATAAAGATGTGACGTCATACTTTGATTTGGTTGTCGAGTGGTTTTGAATCCCCGCCTGTACGTGACAAGGGGTAGGATCGCGAGCGAATTATTGAAGTAGTACTGAATCATATGTTAGTCACGAAATGACCTAGGTTTGACACCCCCCCCCTCTCTCTCTCTCTCTCTCCCCGCCCACCGCCCCCACATCTATTTGTATACATAGCTATATTATTTTGTTTCAGATGATTGAACTCTGTCATGGGTATGGTGTGTTCATATATCCATCAGATCTCGTCCACGTCAAGAAATTATTCGAGAAAACAAAGAGTGGACAATCCGTGACTCGTCACCTTCTGAGCGTCATGTTTACAAAAGAAGAGCTATGTTTTGGTTCAGTATCAAAAGATCCTAAACCTGGTCTGACGTCATTGGATGCAACCGTAGTTCAAGCCATTAGAGGTAAAGTCTTGTTTTCACAGTGTGGCATGGTTACTATGGTGCCGGCATATTAACACCACGTTCGATCGCGGTGTAGGTCGAGAATATTTCTCGGAATTTTCCATTCCGGTTTCTTCTTGTCAATGGTGCTGGGCGGTGTGTCTGACAAGGACAAGATCTAGCTCTTGTCAATGGTGCTATGGGCGGGGTGTCTGACAAGGTCATAATCTAGCTCTTGTTAATGGTGCTAGCCGGGATGTCTGACAAGGTCATAATCTAGCTCTTGTTAATGGTGCTAGCCGGGATGTCTGACAAGGTCATAATCTAGCTCTTGTTAATGGTGCTAGCCGGGATGTCTGACAAGGACACGCCTCTAGCTCAAATGGTTAACAGAAAATCGAGATTTATCCGTGTCGTGCTAAAAAAGGCGCTTGACAGTTGGTTTAGACCCTGCACTGTAACAAACATATCCATGTAAAAACGTAAAAAAATTACGGAAACAAAAATTACCATGAAAATTTTATCCGTATTTATTTATCCTTTAATTTACAGAAATTCCTTCAATTAACATAAATTCCATTTGGTAAATTTTGTTTCCTGAGCATGAAGGTGATAAAAATTTCATTGAACGAACCATTGACTTTATACATGTGCATTAATGACTTTATTTACTGTCCGCTTCCACCGAAGTGATATCTAAGGAAATCTTTAAACGTAACCTCTGTTCGCTAATATAAGAATCGAGAGCAAGGTATCACAAACCGCTACTCGACGGTGGTTGGAGGCTTTCAGATGTGAGTTTGCGGTATTATCAATTTGCAGGTATGTAGACGCTGTCATAGAGACAAACCGACTTACACTGGCCAACCGGTTATACTATCCAGATTCAAGCGTGCTTGATTACCAGATACTACCTTTTCACACACGCAGCGTTAAAACATATTTTTACACATTTATGAAAATACTTACAATCTGATTACCGTATGATGAATAACAATAAACTTTATAGATCTTATAAATAATGGAAATTAGATATACATGTCAATTAATATACCAAACGGTACAAAATATGATTCTTCATATTATGGTTAATATATTGAAATGAGTACTTTAACATGATAATTATTAGGAATGATTATATATGTATACGATTACTTATCGGTACCGATAACAGAATTACAGAAGGGAATAAAACATTATATCCCTAATATTCACGAAACCTCCTGGTCATTCCACCATTTATTCCGTAAAATAACAGAATTAAGTCCATTATAGAAGGGAATAAAACATTGTTCCCTAAATGTCACGGAAATTTCCTGTTTAATATTGAATATTCCACTGAAATAGATAAAACACGTAATTTGAAGAAATAATTCATACTATTAACACAATTTCTCCAAAAAAGTCATCAATTGACAAAAAAAGGTGCTAAACTACTGAATTCGCTCACATTAAAAATGGATATTTTTTACAGTGTGGGGTTACCCAGCCCATACCTAATACATATTAGCCAACTAGACTGAAACAATGGCCATTTTATAATGTATGTTAATCATTTCAGATTACTGTGTAGCAATGTCAAAGGACAAGAACGTGGCCATTAATCAAGCTCTTCACAACAAATTAACCACGTACAGATATAAGGCGAGGTGTAGGGCAACAAGTCCTGAATACTGATCATTGACAGTGCTTATCTAGATGAAATTATGGATGACGAAACCCCCGTGCTTATTGAAGGAGTCAAGTCGCTAACTAACTCAATATCATCCAGTCTTCGACAATGCAAACAGAAACGATTGATGTTTCAGTCAAAATGAAAATATTAACATTGGCACTTGAATCGCGTGTAGAATGCTTCGGGTACCATTTGCATTAAGGGACTCGATGAAGGAGACTAAATATATCCCACGTAGAAGATTATCACCTTTTAAATTCAGACCCTTCGCGTATTTTGCCAAACATAACTGATTATAAATTACAGTATGATAGAAACGATTGAATGTAAATCAGGTTATATATATTCATAATACATTATTATGTGTTGCGACCTATTTGTGTCCATTACTGGGTGCCACAGAATAGAGATTTAGCTCTTTCTGGGTTGATTGCTTATTATATTCAAATACTAGATTGGTGGGGAAAACCCGTTCTTATTTAATCAAGATGCTGAGTTGGTGGAGAGATTTAAGGCCAAGAGTAGCGGAAAGATATCAGTAGAATATACCACAAGTTCCAAATACCGATTATTGATAGTGCTTTTATTGCTGGGTTTGTGGGGGAAACACCGGATTGTTTAGTTAAAGTGCTGGATGGTGGGGGATACCCTGTGATTATTTAATAAATACACTGGTTTGGCCGGGAACCCTGGGCTTGTTTAGTTAAAATATTGGGTTGGTGGGGAAATCCCGGGCCTGTTTAGTTAAAATACTGGGTTGTTGAGGAAAATAAATTTATCTTTAAATTGAATCCGACCTCTGTTTTATTGTCTCTGAAACATTTCCATCGCGGCGCCCTAACCTAACCAGTCGGTGTGGTGTGTTTCATTGACTTGAAGACCATGATAAAAGTGACCGTAAATATAAAAGTAAATATAAAAGTAAACATAATCAATCGCTGTTTTAATGAAATGCAAATATGCTTGTTTTTGTTCAGTTAATATCGATGTGATTCATGATGTCATAAATCAACCTCTTCTATGTACCAGTTTGCATACATGAAATTAAAGGGAGTAAAATGAGATTTAACCTGTTACGAGTTTGCTCCAACTGGGCTAATGAAGACGGACATACGCCACCCTCTTATATCGAATTCCAACTGTCAAATGTACGTCAAAGTGTTCATCGGAAAATCACGGAGAACTTTCGAAATCAACAACGGGATTGGACCACTTGCCCCTAGTCAACGAATAACTGAGCCACAGCGGCTCCCATTTTTTAAAGTATCAAATATATCAAGTATCATCAAGTCTATAATACCCGCCCTTCTCTTCTGCCCCGATTGGGTTAACAAAGATGGACATACGCCACACACAAGGCGCTATGAGGGGAAATTTAACCAGTCAACAACGCTACGGCCTACTTTTATGTCAAGGGTTCTGCACGGGACCTCAGTTTTCTGTACCATCCGAATGACTACACCTTTTTTCTTGCCAGGTCTGAAGGCTTACACCACTGCCAACCCAGGATGAGTCAATAGGGGGACGATTAGGTTAACGTCCGTTTTAATTGAATCAAGTGGTGTGGGTTCGATCCCTGCTTATTACTGGCCACCGTCGTGCTAAAGACCTGTACACGTGCAGGCTAATTAATTGATGGATTAGAGAAATATATGTCGACGGTGTTAAAAAAAACTCAACTAGAACGCCCAGGGTCACATCCCACTTGTCCGGGATCCCTGTCAGCGAGAGGCGTGGGGGGTCGATGAATGTTAGAAGGGCAGAATCTGAAATGCCCGAAAACATTTCGGTTTACAGAAAGTAGTTCCGGTCGTCTGCGAGCGGCGAAGGAGGCCATTCCCGCAAATGCGTTTTCTTGCTGTTCCAGCCCATGAATGCAGCAACTTCAAAGTGATCTAATGTACCCTTACTTAGGTAGATGACTCGAATACCAAATCATTCACATTCCACGGAGACGGGAAAGTCGGGAGAAAATTTTGAAACTTTAACTGCCGCAAACCCGTTTTCCTGGCTCGTACACCTATAAGAGAGAGAGAGAGAGAGAGAGAGAAAGAGGGAGATTTCGGGACTAACATGGTTTAATTTTATGTAAAGGATTCGCTTAAGGATCTTTAGAAGTGGGAGGCAACCGCAAAACCCGGGGAAAACTTATGAGGTTGGACACTACGTCTTGTCACGTACAAGCGGGGAATCGAAACCATGCCATTTGACTCAATGACAGACCTTATGATCTAACCCGCTCGCGTTAACCATTCGGTCACGCAACCACAAGCAATATTTGGAGAATTAATCTCTCAACTAAATATCCGCTTCAACCACAAGGATATTAAAGATACATTGTCACAAATGTATTTATCAGGTGGTTATTTCCAGTAACAGTATGACATGATATATGAAAAGTTTAGACGCCCAATCTTACTAGGAAACTACTCGATTACCGTATCATCTCAATGGAAGCGGACGTAAATTAACCTTGATATTATATCAAGTATTATAATATCAAGGGAGTCGCGGTGGCTCAGTGAGTAACGTCTATCATAGAGTCAATTGGCGTGGATTCGGTTCACGCATGTACGTGACTAATACCCCGTTCAGACACTTATTTTTAAACCAGTTCAAAATCGCGTTCACACGTACTATAAGTCAAACCTGTTTAACTATTCTGACCTCTTCGGTCGGAGGTTAGAGTTAACTATGCATGCGTACATACCATTTCCTGGTAGAATATGTAAACATCCTGTGAAAAAAAAATCCGCGAAATTTGTTTCTCTTACTCTCGGATAGTTTATACACATTTCCTAGAAATGAATACTAATGCTTTGAGACATAGAATTAAACAGTTTAGACAACGACAGAGTCAACAAAGGTACTTCTTTCTGATGCTAATGAGTGTCACTTCTGTGATATTCATGCCAACCAACAGGAGAATATGGTCACGGTATCACAGTGACAATTGGTGGAATCACGCATACAGGTTTGGTTTGATATATTCATATATATTGTTTTAAAATTTATAATCATTATAATGTAGTCAAATATGTACACGGACAAGGTGTATAAAACAAATATTAACCAAGGGGTCATCAATTAAATATTTATAGAAAATATAACGTCCCCCCCCCCCCAAAAAAAAAAAACAACTTAAAAAAACAAAACAATCTTCACACAAATAGGCCTGTGCTATTATATGTGCCATATAGACAATTTTTAATTTCGAATAATAATAGTTGCATGCTTAAAAGAGCTAAATTGTTAATATTTGGGATCTAGAAATTGACACAAATGGGTCGCAACACATAATTTCTAATTAGTTATATTCGTCGAAATACTCTAGATGTCTAAATCGAATGGCAATGTCTAGCAACTGGTTATTCCAGTCTACACTGATAGTATTTATTGTGCATGCTCTCCAGATAAGAATATGACTTGTGGGAATATGTCTAGCCTCGTTCTTCTAGTCCCTTGTTACAAATGACACTGAAATGCATTACACAATTCGTGTACCAATGGTTAAATGTTTGTTTTGTCTCAAATATTGGATATCAGAAACCCATCTTTTCCCCGTTAAGATCACAAGATCAATGTTGATTGAAATTGACAAATACTTTGTGTTTTCAATGTCGCAGATTTTGGATGATATTGACTACTTTAAGTTTAATTATTTACCTAATCTAATTCCTTTACATTTTATTTTCAGCTTTTATGATGATATACAGTATTTGGAAAACTTCAGAATGTCAAAATGTACATTTGAATATCTGTGCAGAATTTTGAGACCATTTCTTGAGAAACAAGTAACAAGTATGAGGGAACCAATATCTGTTGAGCGACAGGTAGGCTATTTTGCATTTTATGATCGCTGTATTGGTTGAGATATTCACTTCTGCTTGGAGAATATAAGAACATGCAACACATACTATTATTTTCTATGTTGGCCGCCTACTGATTTGGATTGGAAGTAGATATTTGTTTGTACATGTAGATGGCCTTAGTAAAAAACAAATCTAGTTTTGTCAATTTAATACTAGACTGAATAATAGATTTTATCACTGAACTAAAATGATTGGAAATATTGAGAACAATCTTCTACCCCTCCCATTTAAAGTATGGTAACCCTTTTTTTTTAGGTTGGCATAAGTTTATGGGTTTTAGGGACCAATGCTGAGTACAGAACTGTGGCTGCATTATTTGGGGTTGGCCGGTCAACCGTGTCTTCAATTATACACATATTTTGTGAGTCCCTGATTTCGATCAAGGACAAATTCATTAAATTTCCATCAGGTGAAGAACTGAATAGAGTTGTAAATGGGTATCGGTCGAAATGGGGATTTCCAAATGCAGGTGGAGCAATAGATGGCAGTCATATTCCTATATTAGGACCGAGCATGAACCATGCTGACTTCCATAACAGAAAAGGGTGGTATTCCATCATTGTTCAAGCAGTTGTGAATGATCGTTATGAATTCACAGACCTAAATATCGGGTGGCCAGGAAGTGTTCATGATGCACGAGTCTATGCAAACTCCAAAATATATGCAAAAGGGCTGTCTGGGACATTATTTGCCGGCAAGATGATTGATGTCAATAATGTGCGCCTGCCTATCGTCTTGTTAGGTGATCCGGCTTATCCATTATCCAACTTTCTAATGAAACCATACACAGACAATAGACACCTGACCCCAAAACAAAAGACATTTAATTATAAGCTAAGTAGTTCACGCATGACGGTAGAAAATTCCTTTGGTCGCCTAAAAGGTCACTGGCGCTGCTTATTAAAGCGATTGGATATGAATGTTGACAAGGTCCCCAATATTATTATGACCTGTTGCATACTTCATAACATATGCGAACAAGCAAAAGACCCATTTAGGGTTGAATGGCTAGAGGATGTAGCAAAGGGAGAAAACTAAATGCCTCAGCCAAATCAAAGTAACGAAGAGGCAATCAATGCAGACTGCACTAACATTAGAAATATCCTGGCTGAATACTTCCATGAATAATTTAACCTTACAAAACAAATAATTAAGAAAGTAATAATTGGCCATACTGTTACATACACTCACTACAAAGAATTTCTATGTGTATATGCCATCTTTTGTTTACTTTTATTGTTTCATTTTGTGTGTTTGCAGAAAACTAAAAAATGGTCAAACTAAATTGGTTTATTTTCATAATAAAAATCATACAACAGAAAAATAACTGATAATCTTATAACACAGTGGGTCTATTATAACTATATATGTGATCAGCTCTGGCCAAATGGTTGCTATGGAGTTCAATTTGTTTCCAAAATTTTCAATATCTTCTTTCTTAAAAGTAATATTATGGTACATTCAAATTTAAATATTCCAAGCATATTTCAAAGTCACATACTAATTTAAAGGTATTTGGATACAGAATTTAAATTGACACCTTTTGGCATCTTGATTTTTGATCCATGCATCTCATTAAGCCAGAGTTGGATTATATAATAAGAGGTCCAATTGTCATCTTTGTTGTCCATCATTGAAGAAGTGTATGTAATTAAAAATATACAGTGGACTCTTTCACTTTCAACATTGTACAGGACCGATACAATGCCAGATTATACACCATGACGGAATACTTAATTGTCTCAAAACCGCAAGTATTATTGTACCTCGAATACCAAAGTATTATTTTAATGCACCTTCGAATACCCAGAACTTAAAAATATGATAAACCTTTTTGTACATTTGAAACTTTATTATATAAAATTATTATGTTTTTACTTTGGGTGCGTACAAAACACTTGTGCGTCGTTATGAACAAAATATTATAATGATAGTGATTCTTCATCTCAGCAATTTATATTTAATGTTGCTGTATTTGACGTGAAAAAATCAAATGAAATACCAAGCACTCTCTTACAAGAAATTATAAAATTATCAAGGTTTTATTAACAAAGACTGACACATACTTTAAGCTCACCGATAATTGATTGCTTGTGGGTTAACACCCACTGATTGAAGGCCGGATTATCCAATGTTAATTCAACAGAAATCGTTTAACGGGGTCCCCAGTGTACAAGCCTACACTATAAAGTTATTGATCAATT